ACCGCTAGTAAAGGAAAGGAAAATACGAGCTAACTTCTATTTGACGGTAGTAGCTGCCTACGCAAAAATTCTTACTGAGCAGTAAACCAGATATGCTATCCCGTAAGTAGAGCCGCATCCGCCACTAAATTTTTTGCGTGCTATAACCCATTGTACCAGGTTCTCGGGCAGCCACAACAAGGATCCCTGAGAACGTTGGTGCCTTAGCAAAGCATGCTAGGGTATTGAAGAAGAAAAAGAAGAAAAAAGAAGTATCCCCGGCGTATGAGTTCGTTCTTCATGGCTAGGACTGGTAGGATTAGAGTGCTTTCATCGTTCGCCATTTGCTCAATGCGGTAGAGACTACCTACTCCATTCTTATCTCCACTCTGAAGATTAGCAGATCCCTTGATACTGCCGCTATTGTTCTTAGCTCTGTCTCTTCTGTCGCGTTCCTCCATCATTCTTCTCTGCAATCATCCTTCGAATCTTCTCCTCACGTCACTCCTCTTCCAATTGCTGCCTTCTCCGTTCAGCCTCTATCTTTCTCTTATTCTCTTCTTCCTTCTTATTCTCTTCTTCCTCCGCATTTTGTAATCTGCCCACTTGACTGCACCTTGTCCTCTGCCCACCGGGCAATCTCTCGCCATGCGGCCTGCTTGGCCGCAGTTGAAGCCAATGGTTGAACTAACTGCTCCGCCTGGTCCTGCTCCTGTAGTGCCTGATGACGCCATGCTGCTTACGTATGCACAAGAAAAGTATGTCATCCTCCCTCCAATTGTGTCAGCTCGCTACTGCTCACCACTGGAAACTCCAGATCTTGCCGTTGCCTTGTCTTGTCGTTGTGTTGTCTTGGCGTTGTCCTGAAGCCGCTCGTCGACATAGCCACCAGTGTGAGTATCTCCTCTCATCCGGTTGCTATTCTACACAAAATAGTGAAAATAGTGGCCAACTGCCTTTCGTACACGCTTCGAATGCTCGTCAATACAGAACAGCACATACTCATCTCAGCACACCCGCACATTCCCCGACGCGCTTCAATCGGTTGCGCTTCGATCATCCTCAGGGGGCTTTCCACACACCCTCGCCTTGCGGCCCACCAATCGCACCTTCCTTCTGAGAACTGAGGGCCGATCAGGCCTTGCCTTCCTATATACTGAACGCCAAGTGAGACGCTTCGTCCGCACGGTACTTCCGCCCCTAACGGGCACTTCCACGAGCTACTACGGCTACGGCTGGACTGCCACCTAGACGTTGCGACGAACGCTATAGTGTCCGTTACGTGTCTGAATTGTCGGCGCGATGATTGAGCCTGCAGGCCAGCTTTCCCCGCATGTTCACGTGTCGGGGTACCTGCAGGCCAGTCTGTTCTAATTTCTCATTGGGCTAATCCGTGCGTCGCGAATCCCCACCTTACTCCAGTCAGTTACACGTGCGTCCCCGAATGACCTTACTTTCAAAATCCGACGCAGCGTGACCTGTACTAATTCGAAACTCCGGAATCCGTATTTCCCGCTCTTTTGGAAATGTGTCGGTAGTCCGGTAGTGCCTGGGCTGCCTTTCTGGCAGCGGGGTACCGTGGGCAATGCCGCGTAATTCCTAGGGCAAAATGACAATAATTCCATCCTACCGCTAGTAAAGGAAAGGAAAATACGAGCTAACTTCTATTTGACGGTAGTAGCTGCCTACGCAAAAATTCTTACTGAGCAGTAAACCAGATATGNACCGCGCGATCCTAAGCCTGTCTCTTATACACATCTAGATGTGTATAAGAGACAGGGCTACGGCTGGACTGCCACCTAGACGTTGCGACGAACGCTATAGTGTCCGTTACGTGTCTGAATTGTCGGCGCGATGATTGAGCCTGCAGGCCAGCTTTCCCCGCATGTTCACGTGTCGGGGTACCTGCAGGCCAGTCTGTTCTAATTTCTCATTGGGCTAATCCGTGCGTCGCGAATCCCCACCTTACTCCAGTCAGTTACACGTGCGTCCCCGAATGACCTTACTTTCAAAATCCGACGCAGCGTGACCTGTACTAATTCGAAACTCCGGAATCCGTATTTCCCGCTCTTTTGGAAATGTGTCGGTAGTCCGGTAGTGCCTGGGCTGCCTTTCTGGCAGCGGGGTACCGTGGGCAATGCCGCGTAATTCCTAGGGCAAAATGACAATAATTCCATCCTACCGCTAGTAAAGGAAAGGAAAATACGAGCTAACTTCTATTTGACGGTAGTAGCTGCCTACGCAAAAATTCTTACTGAGCAGTAAACCAGATATGTTATCCCGTAAGTAGAGCCGCATCCGCCACTAAATTTTTTGCGTGCTATAACCCATTGTACCAGGTTCTCGGGCAGCCACAACAAGGCTCCCTGAGAACGCTGGTGCCTTAGCAAAGCATGCTAGGGTATTGAAGAAGAAGAAGAAGAAGAAGGGCGGAGTATGGCGGGGAGAAAGATTGGGCTCTACTCTACTCTACTCTATGACACCCTACTCTATTCTACTCTATGATACCCTACCC